GGGACTAACTATCATAGAAATGTGCTTTGTTGAAAGTAGATTTTCTCCATGGATCTCCCCTTTAGATTGAATGCCTGCGATTGATAAGGCATTAAACCAATGAAAGTTCCTTATTCCTTGCTTTAAAGGACCAGTGTGTAAGATTTAACATCTGTATCTGACGACCTGGGAATGAGAACGGGCTGGCTGGACTCCACAGAAGGCGACCTGTGTTGTCTGTAGATAAAAACGGCTCATTCTGAGGAAACAAAAACACAATAATTCCTTTATTCATGTGATTACACACTAATGAAAACACATGTGAATATTATATTACATTTCTGTCAATAGATCCTCCTAAATGTTACACACTGGACCTTTAAGTATTTTTTAACACTAGTAGTTTTACTTGTAGTTGATTCATATTTCAGTAATATAACAGTACTTGAGTACAGATTTATAGTCACAATGCAGCTGAGGCTCATGGTTATTGTAGCGTCATACATCATATCTAACTGATGGAAATATTCAGCTTTGTTGCTAATTTATCAGAAATTCGATTTCAAACTTGAAATTATTCAAATGTCCATAACATAGTTCTATAGCATTGTTTATTTATCCAGTGTATTTATAGTCTCTATTGAGGAACAGTAAGAATATCAATAAAAGTACAGTAGTATACTTAAAGAACCAGTAGCTTCTCCTACTTGTACTAGTCTACATAAAACTGAAATTAAAACTCCCACTGAAATTTTGACAAATTGACCCTCTAATAATTAAAACCATTGTGTGGGAGCATACTGTTCTTTGTTCTGTGCCATGTGCTGGGTCAATCTAGACAGACGATGGTGCTAAAATTAGGTTTTATAGATTTATTAGATTAATAACAGATTAATTAAACCAAGCAATTCAAATACTATGTCAGGATCATCTCAGCTTGGGCTTGGGACTTTTTTAACAGTAAGTCTGCATTAGAAACTTTTGGAAAGAGGTAAAGGAGACACAGAGGGTAAAAAGAAAAATGGCGAGTCATCATTGAGATGCACACACGTTGGGGTACAAAACAGTTACTGAGAGATCATAAGGGGATGAACATGTTAAGTTTTGTGCCTTAAACTGCATGAATAGCAAAAGTATCATGGGAGGAATTTGTTCTTTAGCTCAAGTACCTCCTTCAATGTGCACAATTAGCCATTAGCTGCAGCTATATGGTCAGAGCTCTTATATGGTGCAAAGTGCTGGAACGTGGTGGATAGTTTTGCACAGAACTTGCTGAGGAAAAAAGGTCTGCTGCATGTTTATGGCTGTTTATTGAATAAAGCAAACATTTCTCTTTATATATATTTTTTTTATATATATTTATATAGTCTGTGTTAGCGTTTTGTTAGTTGCAGTTTGTCCTTGTTTTATTTTATAGTAGTAAGCTGACAAATCTGTCAAAAACTAGTGAGGTAAAAAATGGAATTCACCTTTAAAAAGTATTTTTTACTAGTTTTAAGCAATTAGCTTTTTTTTCTAAATACTGAAAATGTCCATTGAAAGCTATCATGACATTTTGGTAATGGGTTTTCTACCCCCCTGCTGCGTGCGCATCCTTGGTTGTTTGTGAACTGGAAACCCATCTGTAGAGACTGAAAGTCAGGTCGTCTCGGCCTCCGCTGCTTTTATTTTGACCATTCTTTTTTATGTGTCTCACATGAGTCTCCAAACTTTATATGAGTGCAACACTAAATCACTGGAGGACCCCTTTAAGGGTAAGATACATGCACATTTCTCTGACTATTCTTTAAAACCCCTCATTCAAAGGTCCCACAGCGTTGGTATTTGACAACCTGGGAATGAGGCTCAACAATCAACTACTTCTTGGCTCTGACTAGTTGTTCTCTTTCAGGTTCATGTGGTGGATTCTTGCAAATTAGGAACACTGGGAGGAACCAGAGGAACCTGCACTGGGTTGCACCGGCTATGTATAACTGTAAATTAGCCTTTAAACTAATTTAGAGTGTAAACTATTAATTTTGTAACTAAATCAGCTACTAAGATTGGTGGCAACACGATTACTTCGGGCATAACTAGTTTGTACGTAAAGTCAAGTGGCCAATCAACAGTCAAGGATAAGAGTTATATCGTCATAGTTACCATGAACATTAGCATCGTAGCACAACGTAGTAAGCTGGATCGATATTGAACTATATCAACAAATTAGACGTCAGATTACTGTCTTGCAAAATGACATGAAAAAATTATGTTGTTTGGCAGAAAAACAGCTGTGAGTATAATTCTGTGACATTTTATGATTTACACTACCCTAAGGGTACATGTAACTATTGAGTTATTACTTAGAGTTATGTTGTAACTTATCTACATTGTGCAACCGTTTTTATTTTAGCAATGCATAAATCACCACTTAATAATTAATGACATAACTAGGCTCAGTTTGAACTTGTACACAGCTGGTGCAACAGGCTGTTGATTTGTTTCGCAGATTATATGTAAGGAGATTGAACAAATATCACAAAATGTTATTGTATAAAAGTTACTGCAGCTTTCTTTTGCACGGTTTTGAGAGGAACATTGTTTTTGATTGTAGCCTAGTTTGACTGACCCATTCAAGTGGTAATAGCTGATCCCTCACCATCTGGGTTAGGGTTAGATTACAGTTCTAAGCTGGGCTACTGCTCAGGGCATGAGGATGCTTGCACCAGAGCCTAACATCAGCCAAATAGTTCTCTTATGCTAAAACATGTATAATTCAAACAGAACCAGAGAATTTACAGGCCAACTGTGTCTCCACTGCACCTGTTAACTGCTGAGAAAAAACTGCCCTTTGGCTGAACCTAATCG